ATTTGAAGACTCGGGTGCCGTATTTTGCCAGAGTCGCAGACGTCAGGTTTCTTCAATTTTCTGGGCATGGCGCGAACACACGAAATGGGTCCCGTCCCCCTGCTCTCCGCGCTCCTTCCCTAATCTGCTTCTCGCTTCGTCTTTCCCCCTCCAATCCCTTCTTCTTGGGCCGTCCTTGGGCCTTCTTGGGCCTTCTCCTCTACCCTTGCGTCTTCCCCGACGTTCTCTGATGCTTGCATCCAAAAGCCTTGGCCAGCTAGAGGTCAAACTCGTTGAAGCGCAACATTTGCGTGCCGTCAATATTGTTTTACAGCTGCAGGGGTTGCCCAATGAGGGTCTGTAGGGTTCCATAGGCTATAGGGATCCCGTGAGGGTCTGTAGGGATTCAACAGGGATCCCATGAGTGTCTGTCGGGATTGCATAAGGATCCCATGAAGGTCTGTAGGGACCCCACAGGGATCCCATGAGATTCTGTAGGGATTCCACAGGGGTCCCGTGAGGGTCTGTAGGGATTCTACAGGGATCCCATGAAGGTCTATGGGGTTTCCAGAGGGATCCCATGAAGGGTTGTAGGGATTCCACACGGATCGCCTCGCCGGTGCACTGTTGCATCATGGTGGGCGGAGCCAGCGGATGTGCGAACTGGTGTGTGTGTGTGTTCAGTTTCCGTTTATTTTGTTGTTTGTTTTTTTTGGTAATGTTTTGTTGTTCTGTTGTTCGTTGTTCGGGGGGGTGTGGGGGGACCGGGTGCCTGGCAGCCGGGGTCGCCCTCTTTGGGAAGCCGGCCAGCCAGGTCCCGTGGACCGTGTACCCGGCAGCCCGCTTCACCTTGTTGTTGTTGTTGCTGATCTTGTTGATGCTATTGATGTATGTCGTTGTCGTTGTCGTTGTCGACGCTGTTGATGGCGATGGCGATTGCGATGGCGACGACGATGATGACGGTGATGATTATGATGATGGTGATGATGATGACTTTGGTGATGTTGATGATGCTGATGGTGACGATGATGATGATGAGGATGCTGATGATGATAATAACGACGACACTGATGATGACGATGACACTGATCATTATCACGATCACGATGACGATGACGACGATGATGATTCTGATAATGATGCTGATGATGACGATGATGACGATGACGATGATGATGATGATGATGATGATGATGATGATGATGATGATGATGATGATGATTATGTTTCTCATGATGGTTTTGATGATGATGGTGATTAAGCGGTTTATGATTATGATGTTGATGATAGTGGTGATGTTGGTGACGTTGTTGATGATGATGGTGATGATAATGAGGGTTTATGGTGCTGATAATAATGATGATACTGATGATGATGATGATGATGATGATGATGACGATGGTGATGATGATCACGCTGGCAATGGCGACGTCGACGATGATGATGACGATGAGCACGATTCTGATGATGATGCTGGTGGTGGCGATGATGCTGATTATGCTGATGGTGTTGGGGATGATGTTCATGATTGTGATGGTCGCGATGATGAAGATGATGATGATGGTTATTATGGTGACGATGATGACGGTGATGGTTGATGGTGATGAGGATGGTGATGATGGTGATGATGACGATGTGGCTATAACGATGATGCTGCTGTTGCTGATAATGATGGTAATGATGACGATGATGGGGATGCTGATGATGCTGCTGATGATGATGATGATGATCATCATGGTGATGGTGATGATGATAATGATGACGACAATGATGACAATGATGATGATGATGATGATGATGATGATGATGATGATGCTGATGATGATGATAAAGATGATGATGATGATGATGATGATGATGATGATGATGATGATGATGATGATGATGATGATGATGATGATGATGATGATGATGTTGATGATGATGATGATGATGGTGATGATGGCCATGATGATTAGGATGATAACGTCGACGATCGATCCGTTTCGATATCTGCTCCGGCCAGCCCGACTCGATTCGATTCCGATTAGCGTGTGATCCGATGCGGCCCAATGCTTGCATGGCGTTGTTGTGCATATTGGCGCAGTCGATTCGATTCGATTTCGATTCCGTGCCGTTGCGGTCAGATTCGATGAGCGTTCCGGTCCGACCCGATTTACGGCTGTTTCCGCCCGCCCGCAGGACAACCTGGACAGCTCCGGGTCCTTCGCGGTGCGGATCGACTTTGCCGCGAACGGGCTCTTCCGGGAGAGCTCCGCGAGGAAGGCAGTTGTCTTCGGAGAGGACGGGCATTACCCAAGCATATTTGCTCTGTGAAGAACTATGATCGCCTTCCCCCTTGGCTCCGCTGGAGGGGGGGGGGGCCACGTGCTGTGGGAGGTTGAAGGAAGAGGAGGATGAGGCGAAGGGGGAGAAGAAGGAGAGAGGGGAAGTGGGGGGGGATGGGGAAGCCCCGTCGGACGGTCAATCACCCCCCCCGTTGATAGATATCCCATCCAGAACATACCATGTGTGCGTCGGGCCCGTGGGGGCGATGCGCGCGCCCGGACGTCTGATGGCAGAGGCTCGTTGGTGGGCGCTCTGTGGCCATACCGCCATCTGTTTGTACTTCTGTTCGGCTTGTGCTTCTTGTTCGGCTTGTTCTGGACGATCCACTACTATCAGCTTGTGCTATCTGTTGGATTCGGGCGTGCGCTGCCAAATGGTGTCGCACAGTGCCTGCGAGCATGTCCTTCTGCGTCCCATCTTGGGGCCTGCGGGGACCTCTGGAGACCTCGAGGGGCCGCCGCTGCCGCAGGTGGCTGTCGTCGTCGTCGTCGTCGTCGTCGTCGTCGTCGTCGTCGACGTCCCAAGGAGATGAGCGTGCGCGTCGAGCCCGCGGCGCTGACCGCGGCCAGCGACGGCGGCCGCGAGGTGCTCGCGGCCGTGCGCGGCGGCGCCTCTGGCAGCGGGGCCCCCGCGGCCTCGGTGCTGGGCTGGCTCATCGTGCGAGGCCCGCGCCGCCCCGACAACGGTGTGGCGACCACGCCGCGTGGTGAACCGGTGGGGGCTCGGGGATTCTGCGAGCTGGCGCTCTGCATCCTTCGTCGGGGACTTCGCGGTGAAGCAGGCATCCTCCACCGGCTCGACATCGAGGGGTAGCCGAAGGATCTTCCACTGGGTCCACTCCAGAGCTAGGGTGTCCCACCAGCCAGTGTGTGTGGGGGACTCGGGGTCACCTGCGCGGCTTTGGGACTCGAGTCGTGCTCCCAGGATGTCTCGGGCGACGGGGGCCTCCGAGGTCCCAGAACCGTGCGGTGACGAACCGCCCGGTGAGGTCGTCGGGGTTGCCGAGGCCACCGCGCGGTCCGTCACCGCACTGCTTTGGGCCCCAAGGGCGCCCCCCTTCTCAAGGGAGTACAGACCCATCCCTCCACGCACAGCGTACTCGAGTGCGGGCAGATTTCTCGCTGCCTGTAGATGAGAGAGAGAGAGAGAGAGAGAGAGAGAGAAAGAGAGCGACAGAGAGAGAGAAGGATGGCATAAACGTGCTCTCTCGGAACTCCGCGCGGAGTTCCTGGATCGGCGCCGTGCCGCTCTGGCGGCGCCTCTGCCGCCGCCCCTGGTGCGCCAAGGAGGGGGCTCAGCGCAGATCCAAGAAGTCCGTGGACAAAAGCACACAAACAACACATATCAGCCAGCCAAGGAATCAGAGGAATCAAGCATGCTTGGAATCCGCAGCTCAGCAAGCAGCAAGCGTGCAAGCAAGCGCGCAAGCAAGCGCGCAAGCAACCACGCAAGCAAGTAAGCGTGCAAGCGCGCAAGCAATCGTGCAAGCGTGCAAGCGCGCAAGCAAGCAAGCAAGACAGCAAGCAAGCAAGCAATCGTGCAAGCGCGCAAGCAAGCAAGCAAACGTGCAAGCGCGCAAGCAAACCAGCGCGCAAGCAAACAAGCAGGCAGGCAAGCAAGCAAGCAAGCTGGCAGGCATAGGCATAGGCATCGGCGTAGGCATAGGAGTTAATCGGGGGGGAGGCATCGTGGAGCATGCACCGGACTTTGCTTCTCGCCGCCAGACCTTTGTCGCGCGGCCGCGACCGAAAAACAATATCCCCACCAACCCATCCAGAGACGATGCCCAGGAAAACTGAAGGACAAAGGGAAGAAGAGACTCACATAGTGAACCGGAGCGGGCAACAACGGTGATTTGGGAGATCTTTTGTGGCCAAGGTTGCAAGTGTTTTTGCTGGTGCTTTTGCTCCTGCTGGTGCTGCTGCTGCTGTTGCTGTTGCTAGTGCTGCTGCTGTTGTTGCTGATGGTGCTGATTTTCGGATGGTGAGTAGACGGATAAAAGGGGGAGGAAGAGGAGGAGATGAGGAGGATAATAATAGTAATAATACTAATAAGGACAAGGAGAAGGAGGATGAAACAGGGCGGACATATGATCCTCTTAGGATGTCTCTTGGGGGTTGTTTTGGAAACCTCTTGGAGCGTCTGGGGGGGATTTTGGGGGCTTCGGGGATCCTCGTGAAGCCTCTTCGGGTCTTTTGGAGGTCTCTTGAATGCCTCTCGGAACCCCTTGGGATATCTCGTGGGCGGTTGTTTTGAAGCCTCTTGGAACGTCTCGGGGGTCTTTTGGCGGTCCTAAGGACTCTTGGGCGTCTTGGGTGCCTCGGGAAGGCAACTTGGGGTCCTCTTGGGGGTCATTTGGGAGCTTCTTGGAGCCATTTTGGGGTCATTTTGGTGCCATCCTGGGGCCTCTTGGGGCCTCCTGGGCGCCCCTTGGGCCCGTCTGGGCTCTTTTGGGGGCCTTGTCGGGGCGTTCTTGGAAACTTTAGGGGCTCTCTTGGGACCATCTTGGATGATATCGGTCAACGAAAGGGGGGTTCCTTAATTACCCCCCCACAGGGATGGGGCCAACACCCGGGTAAAACCAATGATTTTTGCTTCCTCGCCGAGGCCGTTTTGGATGCTCCGACACCTCGAGGAACCCCCTGTCCAGGTCCATGGGGAGGGGGTAGGGGGAGGGGTCAAGACTCCCTCCCCGCCCGCAAGCCGTCTCGCTCACTCCCACCCGCCTTCCCGACACATACGTAGCACCCGAGTCTGGCCCGAGCCTGAGCATATTCAGCAGTCGTCATTGGATGGACAGTTACTGGGGGCCAATCCGCCGCCGCCGCCGCCTCCGCCGCCGCCGCCGCTGCCCGCCGCCGCCGCTTGCTGCCGCCGCCGCCGCCGCCGCCGCCTGCCGCCGCCGCCGCCGCCGCAGCCGCTGCGCCACCCCGCCGCCGCCGCCCGCCGCCGCCGCCGCTCAGCCGCCGCCGCCGCCGCCGCCCCCCGCCCCGCCGCTGCTGCCAAACCGCCGCCGCCGCTGCCGCCACCGCCGCCACCGCCGCCGCCGCCGCCGCAGCCGCCGCCGCCACCGCCGCCGCCGCCGCAGCCGCCGCAGCCGCCGCCGCCGCCAAGTGTATTATGTATTGTTTTTTTGACAGGGATGGTGTGGGGGGGGCCGCATCGGGTTGGCTGCGCATGTTCCGAATTTGGAGGCAGAGTGTGGTTTGCATTTTTTTTCAAGGAATGGGGGGGGGGTCGTCATGGACCTTGGTTGGCCCCCAGTCGCCTGGGGGAGGGGGTGTTTATTAATAGGGAACAGTGATAAACCCTTCGCCGAAGGGGAAGAAGGAGGGGTGGAAGAGGAAACACCTTAAACCACCGACGCCCAGAGGGCTGGTGGGATTAGGAGGGGCGGCATAGGAATTTGGGGGGGCAGCGGACCAATGAGTAGGGATTGAGCTAGGACTTCTATAGGGCAAGCTGGATAACAGAATGGGAATAACACACACACACATACTGCGTGTTTTTTGTACAGACTGTTTTTTGTTCCCGCGGACCTCCAGCAGCTTAAGTCTGTTTTTTTTTGCTCCTCTGGCGGTGTCGCCAGGACTCCCGAGGAAGCTCAGATGGCTTCCAGCACGCCCCTCACGAGACCCGGAGCGCAAGCAGCTGGGAGCACCTCGGGCCAAGACCGGTTCTAGCAACACCCGGCTAGGGGACCCAGGCGCAGGAGGGCTCGGGGGCTGCCGCGCTTCTGGGGGCACGACGCGAGGCGGGGACTTGTCCATAGCCGCCGCTTGGGGGAGCGATCTTCGGGGGCCTCGGCAGGCGGTGGATGTGGATACACTAGGGCCCCCGAGTGTGGGTAGTTTCCCACCTCGCATCGTGGCTGGAGATGCGGGACTTGTTGATCCCCTGTTGCATTTTGGGCTGCCCGATTGCTAGGCATATCATGTCTAACCAGGCATTTGAGCGAGGACCAACGGCTGACTGTTGGAAAATGGCAGCACTCTGATTGGCCTCGGGCCAGGCATATTCATTACATCTGGCTGGCTGGGTCGTCTCGTAGGAGCTTGCGTAGGCGTCCGTAAAGCTCTTCCAGGATGCTGTTGGCACCGTCGGGGTGCCGAACGGCTTCTTGAATCCGTCTCGGAGCCGTCTAGTGGGCGACATCGCACCTCGTAGGGAACCCACGCTCGCCCAGATTTTGTCGGCACCGATTCGCCGGGACTGGCCAGATGAAGTGAAGCGGCCTCCGAAATCAGATCTAACGGTTGTGGAGTTGGGGAGGTGGATGGAGAAGTGGGAGTCTCACGTGCCTGGAGATTCCAAAGGGGCTCGCGGACATCTGAGACTGCTGGCGCTGTTGGGCTGCCCTCGTGGTCGGACGGCTCGACCTCGAGCGCTCCATCGGCGATCGCGGTCGCCGAAGATCTCGGCGAGGTACTGCGGAGGGATTTGTGGCAGGATCCTCTTCCATATTTCCTGAAATACCACATGGAACATCCTCGGGCGAGCGAGGTGGGGGACGCCAAACCCGAGCCCGCAGCACAGAGCCATGACGAGCAGCCGCCGTGAGGCGGGCCAGCTTTCACACAATGTCACACCTGCTCGTAGACAGGCCAGTTCAGCCGCGTAGCCTCACAGCCGCCGAGGGCCACCTTTGGCCGGACTCTCACAGCGGACTCCGACAGAAGCAATTGGCCCCGAAAATTGCAAAGCGATTGCAAAGCGATTGTTGAGAGCACTGTGCGATCTACCAGGAGCTTTCCCGACACGACGCCAGAGCAGTACGTAAACACAATCACGTTGCGATCACGACATGCTTGCTCATCTCATGCCAGACCAAGGTAAGTCGATGGAGACGAGGGAGGGAAAGTGGTTCGACTAGGCAATAGTAGGCTCAGGTGCACAGTGTGGGTGCGTGCTAGAACGATTTCGGTGTTTAGAGTGTGCGTGAACGGAGACTGGGCAGTCCATAGCAATTTACCGCAGCTTCATCATCCATGCGTAGTAGCATGACGGACTTGATAAGTCCAACCAGGGCAATTCAGATAGTAGCGAGCTTATGCTGGCGCGAGCGCAGGCACATGAGATGTGGCAGGCTGAGTCGAGGCGGGGTACGCTGAGAACGGATAAAAGCAAGTCGCCCAGGCGCATGGTTCATGTTTGTTGTGCGTGCCAGGCATTGGCACCTGTTTTCGCGGTCGTGCCGCTTTTACTTCAATAACTTTATGACCCATCGGTCCCCTTCTTCGCGTCTCAGCGTGCGGCCGCGGCACTGTCCCGCTCCCGCTCGGCTTGGAAGGTCCGAAGCCTGCGCAAGGTCAACGGGCCAGAGTAACATCCCACGTGTTAATTCCCGGATTCAGCCATCAGCAGCAGCATCGTGCTTTCCATGGCCCCAACCGCCTGTGGGACCCGCACGTGGCCGCCGAGAGTCTCGCGCCGTGCTCCAGAGCATTTGGGGCTCAAATTTCAGGTGCCGCTTTTGGCGCCAATATTTGCAGGGAGCACATGGCGGCCGTAAGAGCGTCCCTGGCAGCCCTCCGTGGTGGTGTCGCAGGGTCCCCCGGCCCGTGATTGCTCATTTGGTGACGATTTTGCCATGCTTAAGCCCCAGGCGATGCAGCAGTCGAGGTTACGATGGCAGCTGAGCAGGATGAGGCCGCAGGCGCATACAAATCCAGACCCCTCGCGTCGTGACAAGAAAAACGACATAACCTTTTTGGCCGATTTCGGCCTCTGGGGGATCTCATTGGGCCCTGGGACCACGTCAAATGACGACTCGGGACGACGAACTAGTCAAGGGGAACCTCGGGGGATCCACGTGAACACTGGAGGCTGGGGGATTGTGGGGGTGCGTTTTTGGGCTTCCATCGTCGCTTTCCTCTTCGGTTGTTTCTCCTTCTTATCTGTCTGTTTTCCTTCGCTGCTCCTTCTCTCCAGCTCGTTCTGGACCGCGGAAGTGTTCTGAGCATACGGACCATCACAGGATTCTCAAATGCAGTGATTTACACCGTGTCTCCTTCATCCGTCCCCTCTCCCCTCTCTCCCTCTGTCTTTTCTTCTTCGACTGAATTCCATATCCAATCCTTTTTCTTTTCCCCTCCCTCATTCTCCATTTTCTCTCCTTCCCTTTCTCCGTTTTGCTTCCCTGTTCTCATTCATTCTTTCACCCTCCCTTCTCTCCCTCCTTCGTCCTTCTCCCCTCCACATTCGACCCTCTCCCAATTCTGTGTAAGTCCAGTATTTCACTTCTCTTCCTCCCCTTACCCTCCGTCTCTCTCTCTCTCTCACTCTCTCTCTCTTTCTATTCCTCTCTCGTTCTCTCAAAGGCTTCCTTCTCGAACCCGCCACACAAGGAAGGCTTTTGTAATTCTTTACGCTTCGCGTATCCCCACCAGCCCATCTCACAGCAGCAACTCTTGCGAAGCATGCCGACAGTCGTGTTTTTCAGGCGTGTGTCCGCTTGGCCCCGCATATCTCCCCTGTTCCTCCTTCCTCCCGCCTCCTTGTACATCCTCCTTGTGGGGGGAGCGGGAGAAGGACGAGGCGGAGGAGGAGGGAGAGAAAGCGCTCCTCGTGATTTGAGTCGTTTGGGGTTTCTCGTCCTGGTGTGAGTCGTTCGGGCCCTTCTTCCTGGTGTGAGTCGTTCGGGCTCTTCGTGGTGTGAGTCGTTCGGGCTCTTCGTCCTGGTGTGAGTCGTTCGGGCTTCTCGTGGTGTGAGTTGTTCGGGCCCCTCATCCTGGTGTGAGTCGTTCGGGCCCCTCCTCCTGGTGTGACTCGTTCGGGCTCCTCGTGGTGTGAGTCGTTCGGGGCCCGCGTCGTGGTGTGAGTCGTTCGGGCTCCTCGTGGTGTGAGTCGTTCGGGCGCCTCGTCCTGGTGTGAGTCGTTCGGGCCCCTCCTTGTGGTGTGAGTCGTTCGGGCTCTTCGTGGTGTGAGTCGTTCGGGCCCCTCGTCCTGGTGTGAGTCGTTCGGGCTCCTCGTGGGGCCTCTTGGGGGCCTCTTGGAGCCTCTTGGGGCCTCTTGGGGGCCTCTTGGGGGCCTCTTGGGGGCCTCTTGGGGGCCTCTTGCAAGCTCTTGGGGCCTCTTGGGGGCCTCTTGGGGGCCTCTTGGGGCCTCTTGGGGGCCTCTTGGGGGCCTCTTGGAGGCCTCTTGGGAGCCTCCTGGGGGCCTCTCGGGGCCATCTTGGGGCCTCTTGCGACCTCCTCAGAAGCGCAAATGAGTGCTGCCCCCTGAGAAGGACAAAATAAGCCCAAAACCTTCGTACCATCAATGATTTCATGGTGAGTTTTCATGAACGCTGTCCCCTTCAGAAGGCCAACATGGGGCCAAAACCGTAGTAAAATCAATGATTTTGGCTTCAAAGAAGAGGAGAAGGTTTTTGTTCTGGCCCCCCCCCGTCGGGGCCAGAATCCTCGTGAGGGGTGTCGTTTTTTTAGCCCTCCCAGGAGTCGAAACTGACTCCCCTGACGACCCGCGAAACCCCCTCTCCAGGCCCAGGGGGAGGGGGTAGGGGGAGGGGTAAACCCCTCCCCGAAGGGGAAGAAGAGGGGTTGAGAACAGAGAGGGCTCGCTAAACCACTCACGCCCAAAGGGCTGGTGGGATTCGCCTCAAACGTGATCCGCTTGTAATCCGCCACAAGAGGAATCCGCCGCACACAAGGAATCCGCCACGTGATCCGTCACGCAAGGAGTCGTTGTGTAACCCGCGACAAGAGGAATTCTTTCGTAATTCGCCACAGAAGGAAGGCTTTTGTATCCCGCACAAGAGGATTCTCTTTGTACTTCATACAAAAAACCTTTTGCAAACCGCAGCACAAGGAATCCTGTTGTATCTGCCTCGGAGGACAAGGCGCCCTCCTCCCCGAACAGGTTCTTGGGGAAGGGGACAAACGAGGACTTGGAACACACTTATCGCAACACACAGTGAAACATCGGGAAACGTGAACAACTCGTTGAGGAGAGAAGAGGCAACATAGAAACCATTACCGCGACACCCTTATCACAATCATAATCTTACAAAGGGGATCCTGGTGCCATTCACCACAACGGATCCTTTGTAACCCGCGCATCAGGAAACCTTCGCTACGTCGCCACACAAGGAATTTCTGTGTGACAGCCCCGGAGGAGAAGGAACCCTCCTGTCCGAACGTGTAAAGGCAACATCGGGAAACAAGGAGCCATATGGAACATACATCTGACAACACAGCGAAATAGGCACATTGACAAGCTCTTGAGGGGAGAAGAGAAACATAGGAACACATGCCGCGACACTCGGAATCCCTTTGTAATCTGCTGCAGCAGGAATCCTGGTAAAATCCTCTACAAGTAACCCTTTTGTTATCCGTTACACAAGGAATACTTTTGTATTCTGCCACAGAAGGGATCCTCTTGTAACCCTCCACACATGGACTCCTCTTGTGATCGCGACAGGTATTTCTTTGGTTTTCATTTGCCACGACAAGAGCTCTTTCTGTAATTCGCGCGCAAGGAATCCTCTTCATTATCTGCCACTAGAGGATTGCTTGTGTAACCCCCACAAGAGAAAACTTCTTGTAAACCGCAGCAACATGAATCCTGTTGTATCAGCCTCGGAGGAAAAGGCGCCCTCCTCCCCGAACAAATTTAATGGGAAGGGGACAAACGAGGAACCGGTACAACTGTAGCAAAGCAAAGTGGAACAGACGAAAACATGAAAGTCTCCTGCAGGGAGAAGAAGAAAGATACAACGAGTTGCCGCGACATCGGGGTTCCTTCTGTAACCTGCCACAGCCAGAATTCTTTTGTACCCTCCCACAAACGGAAATCTTTTTGTAATTCGCAAGAGGAGGAATCGTTTAGTAATTGTCTCGGAGGAAGAGGAGCCTTTTCCCTCCAGAACATGTAAGGGGAACAGGGGACAAAAGGAAGCATAGTAAACCACTCGTACAAACACAGCGGGCAAATTCCACAGAGAAGAGCTCTTTAACGGAGAAGAGGACAACTATGGAAAGCTGCAATGTGGCGGCATGACACAAGGATTCCTTTTTTGGGTGGGTTACAGATGGATTCTTTTTGTGGCGCATTACAACAACACGGATTCCTGGGGCTGCGGGTGGCAAAAGGAGTTGTCTTGGTGGAGGATTACGAAGGACACCTCTTGTAGCTGATGGCAAGAGGATTTCTGATGGTCGAGGGATTTGTTTAAATATGTTCTCCTTTCCCCCTCCATTTTTTGTCCTTCCGTTGTGTTTTTCCTGCTTGTTCAATATTTTTCCTTTATCTCATATTCCCTTTTTTTGTTTGGGGATGAGCGCGCCTTTCTCTCCGAGGCGGTTGCAAACATATTCTTTCTGTGGCGGCTTACACAACAAGGATTTTCAATGTGTGGATTACAAACGGATCCCTTTTGTGGTGAAATACACAAGGATTAGTTCTGTCGCGGTGGCAAACATATTCTTTTTGTGGAGGATTGCAGAGGGATTGTTTTGTGGCGAAGCGCGAAGGATTCATTTGGGGTCGCAATTCAAACGGGTTTCCTGGTGGAGGAATACAGAAGGATTCCGATTGCCGCGGCACTTTTTCATTGTTGTTCTTCCCCAACTATGTATGTATGCATGTATTCATACATGTATGTCTGTATCTATGTATGTATATATGTATGTATGTATATATATGTGTATATATCCGTATCTATGTTTAAGTTTTTCAGTTTAACAAATGTTTTCCTACTGTCCCTTTTTTTGTTCTTCCCCTTCATTGTTCGGGGAGGAAGGGCTCTGCTCCTCCGAGGCAGTTTCAAAAAGGAGTTTTTATGTGGTACATTCCAAAAGGGTTCCGTGTGTGGGGCATTGTAGAAGGATTTCTTTGGTGGCGGATTAGTAAAGTATTCCCTCTGTGGCGGGCTACACAAGGATTCCATTTGTGGAAGATTACCAAAGGATCTTTTTTGTAGCGGATTATGCAGGGATTCCGATCATAGTTGTTTTTTGTTTTCTCTTTCTCTCTTTTTTTCTCTCTTCTTTCTTCTTCTTTTATATATATACATATATACATGGAAATTGCAACTTTTCCTTATTTGTAACTGTTCATTGTTA